GTTCTATATGGTTGATGATCATATATTATATGATATCTATATTATATTAAGTAAATATCATATATCTCGCTATGTGAAGAAGCCCTTTAGAGTACACATAACATCCTGAGCAAGTCGCATGAAACCAGAACCCCGAAACTTTAGGTAGGAGAAATACCCTAGCATAAATTATGTTGTTATTTTGCCTTAGCTATATTCGACATAGAGCTTGCTGGCTTTATCAAAGGGATGCTCTAAAATAGGCTTCAGTTCTATCTATAATCGACTATTGCAGAAACAAAACCTTTGCGAGACCCCGCCACTGCTACCGATTGCCACGCTACAGATGCATCCTTGCAAGGTTGAATCCTACGATGATTTGGCTGCAGTGGTGCAGGAGGCCTGTGACAAGTTCGACACCATGTACAAGGACTATATGAGTCGCAGCAAAGGCGGCAAAGCTACCAAAAAACCCAAGAAGTGATCGTATCGGCTGCTGCAAGCTGCTAGCTGCTTCAGTGCAGAAGATTTTATATGTGATGACTGAGTGTGGTAATGTCTGCTACAGAGCTTGCCTGCAGCTAGTGGTCCAGATGCGATGATTTTGGCTTTCATCATCAGGGCTAACCTTGGTGATATGTGCCATGCACTTGCCTGCAACAGCCCGGCTCCCATCTATGTGCCTGCAACCACTACATGACCTGTGGCCCTAGCTATGGTTAAACCCTCAAACCGATTCTGGGAGCTGGGGGCATTGTCTGGCTTCTGCAGCTGTGTTGCTGGGAAGACACACCTTGGCTGCAGTGTTTCGCTATAGCCATATCCTACTTAAAACAAGAAACACAGCTCTCCTAGCAGCTTCTGTGTCAAGGGGTGAACATGGCAAAGAAGCAGGGCATTAGGCCTTGTTGGGTGCAATGTGTTTTCATGTTCCTGGCCGAATTATGGCCTGATCACGATCTAGCTCTTTCACCAGCAGACTGCACACCGGTGTCCGCAAGCATGTCTGTGCACGTGCAACTCAGTGCCCAAAAAGCGCAATGAAAGGAATCCAATTATGCATCGTGTACGACCATTTCATCCAAGCCAGCATGTGTGCACTGTGCTCGTGGTGTGTCTCTGTGTGCAGCTGTCATCTGCCAGGTTCAGACAATGATGGCGACAATGCCGACGGGCTTTTGCAAAACATGTTGGATCGCATTTCAAGTGGTGACGCCTGGCTTGCATGAGGTTTCTAATGTAAGCCATGTTGCATCATATCATCTTTGTGGCTGCACAACGATATGCCAATCCTGAGCTGAAGCAAAATAACATCTCAGGCTTCTACTGTTGGGGGTGCTATGGAGAGTGCACGAGCAAGCTACCAGGTGCCCGGGGAATGGCAACAATTGCTCATCCAACCCTAAAATATAATTAATTATAAACCCAAACCCTGATCACCCTTAAAACCTAAACGCTCAAGTCTTATAAACCCTAAACCTCATCAAATATCTATAATAAATTATAACAGAAACCCTTGTTAATTCAATTGCCAGGAGGCTGGCCGCAAGTTCAAGGGGAAGATTATGTCTGGGCTTATGAAATATAGCTCTGGTCGCAACTCTGCGAGAGACTTCTTCAAGAATGTCAAGCTGCCTTTGGCACCCAGGCTTTAAATGTGAGGTTGCATATAGGGTTTATAGGTATACAGGTTTATGTTTGTTTTTTTATTATCTAGATCTGTGCTGAGGGGTTTAGGGTAATTGTGCCCTCTCGCGCTTGAGCTGCACAGTGCGAAGTAGCTTCAGAATCCAGGGTTCCCAGCCATTGCCTAGGAACCGACATATGTGACTGTACCTATCTATGAAACGATCAGTGGCACACTGACGGAAGTTGAGACGACGGTCCCGGTTCTAGATGTGTATGAGCTTCTGGAATACCTTTACAAGGACCTGGGCCTTGTTTGCCCGCCAGAAAAGGCCAGGGAATACTGGCAGCATATGAGACAGAATGGCAATCCGCACGCCCTGCGTTTCCCTGCTGCCGGGGATAGCCATATACAATTCAGCCTCTATGGAGATGAATGCTGCTTGGGTGATCCGAAGGATAAGGTGACTGGGATATTTGTATCCTTGACACTCTTTAAGCCGAAGGTGTCCAAGCACCGTGAATTTCTTATCTTCGCAATGCAGGACTCAATTATGATCCACGATGGCTTAAAGACTATGCTTCCCATACTACGACATATAGTGTGGTCTTGCAATGTGACGTTCGAGGGAAGGTACCCTGCATGCAATGCTGCTGGCGAGGCACTGCCGCCGGCGAAGCAGAAGCTTGCAGGACAGAGCTTTGCGGGCCATTGCAAGTACGCCTGCGTTGAGCTGAAGGGCGACTGGAAGTGGCATGAACGTGTGTTAAGACTTATTCACACGCCCGTCAGCACAAAGTGCTGTTTCTTGTGTCGGGCA